ACCTGGGAGGTAGAGGTTGCAGTGAGCTGGGATTGTGCCATTGCACTCCAGCCTGGGTGACAGAGTGAGACTCTGTCCAAAAATAAAAAGTCCAATCGCTGTGTTTTAATTGCCATATTTAGACCATTTACATTTAATGTAATTTTTAGTTATTTTAATTTTAGAGACAGGGTGTGGCTTAGTGGCCCAGGCTAGAGTACAGTGGTATGATCACAGCTCACTCCAGCATCAAACTACTGGGCTCAAATGATCCTCCCACCTCAGCTCCTAAGCAGCCAGGACTATAGGTGTGCACTACCATGGTTGGCTAATCTTTTATTTTAAATTTTTTGTAGATACAGGGCCTCAGTACATTACTCAGTCTGATCTTGAACTCCTGGCCTCAGGTGATCTTCCTGCTTCAGATTCCTAAAGTGTTGGAATTATGGACTTTAGCCACCACATCTGGCCTAGTATAATTTTTGATACAGCTGGATTTAGGTCTACCATTTTATCATTAATTTTCTTTGTTGGTACCTTATTTTTTTACACTTGTTTTCCTTGCTGACCTTATTTTGAATTATTTATTTTTCCAAATTTCACTTTATATGTTGGCTTTTTAAACATATCTCCTTGCATAGTTTTTTTTAAATGGTTGCTCAAGAGATGATCATTACATACCAAACTTTTTGTAATCTAATTAGAATGTTTTACCACTTTAAGTGAAATACAGAAACCTTACCATATAGGTCCTTTTACTGTCCCCTCGGTTAGGATGCAGTTTTCATCTGTATTACATCTATATGCATTGAAAATCCCATCAGATAATGTTATAAATTTTTTGTTTCAGCAGTTAGATATATTTTTACAAACATATAACTCTATTTGGTTTATCCAGAGATTTGCCATTTTGGTTGCTTTTCCTTCTTAGCAATCATCTTCCTTCCCCATGAACTTCCTTTAGCATTTCTGTTAATGGAGCACTACTAGCAATAAGTTCTTTCAGCTTTCCTTCTTCTGAAAATGTCTTTATTTTGGCCAGGCATAGTAGCTCATGCCTGTAATCCCAGCACTCTGGAAGGTTGAGGCAGGCAGATCACCTGAGGTCAGGAGTTCAAGACCAGCCTGACCGACATGGTGAAACCCCATCTCTACTAAAAATACAAAAAAATTAGCCAGGCATGGTGGCACACACCTGTAATACCAGCTATACTTCTTAGGAGGCTGAGACAGGAGAATTGCTTGAACTGGGAGGCAGAGGTTGCAGGGAGCTGAGATTCTGCCACTGCGCTCCAGCCTGGGTGACAGAGTGAGACTCTGTCTTAAAAAAAAAAAAAAAAAAAGAAAATGTTTTTATTTCATCTTCTTTCCTAAAGAATATATTTGCTGGATAAAGGATTCTGTGTCAACAGTTTTAGTGCTTTTTTAAAGCACTTTATAAATATTGCTCCTCTGTCTTGGCCTCCATGGTTTCTGATGAGAAATCTGCCATCTCTGAAATCTTTGGTTCTCCTGTATACAAAATGTTTTCTTCTGGTTGCTTTCAAAATATTTTCTTTACACTTGGTTTCATCACTTTGATTATGATGTGCCTGGGTGTGAACATTTTTATGGATTTGCTGTGCCAGTAAACCTGCTTTAAAAATAATGCTATGTAAATGTATGTAAATATTTGTGTTTTGCCAAATGTTTGGAAGTTTTCAGCTATTATTTCTTCAGATATTTTTTCTTCCAATTGTTCTTTTTGGATTCCTAAGACATGAATATTAGACCGTTTGATATTGTCCCACAGATCCCCAAAGGTCTTTTTTTTTTTTTTTTTTTTTTTTTTTTTTTTTTTTTTTTTTTGAGATGAAGTCTTGCTCTGCTGCCCAGACTGGAGTGCAGTGGCACAATCTGGGCTCACTGCAATCTCTATCTTCTGGGTTCAGGAATTCCCCTGCCTCAGCCTCCTGAGTAGCTGGGACTATAGTCGTCCGCCACCATGCCCAGCTAATTTTTGTATTTTTTAGTAGAGATGGGGTTTCACCATGGCCAGAATGGTCTTGATCTCCTGACCTCATGATCTGCCCACCTCGGCATCCCAAAGGGTTGGGATTACAGGCATGAGCCACCAGACCTGGCCATATTTTCAGTTCTAAAATTTCCACTTGATTCTTTTTATAGCTTCTATGCTGAGACTTTTAGCTTTTCATTTATTTCAACAGTGTTTACCCTGACTTCATATATTTCCTTTGGAAAAATGTCTTCTATGTGGAACATGATTAAAATAACTAGTTTAATGGCCAGGTGCACTGGCTAACGCCTATAATCCCAGTACTTTGGGAGGGCCACGTGGGCAGATCACCTGAGGTCAGGAGTTTGAGAACAGCCTGGGCAACATGGTGAAACCCTGTCTCTACTTAAAATACAAAAAAAATTTATCTGGGCATGGTGGTACACACCTGTAGTTCCAGCTACTCAGGAGGCTGAGGCAGGAGAATCACTTGAACCCTGGAGGCAGAGGCTGCAGTGGGCCAAGATTGCATCACTGCACTCCAGCCTGGGTGATAGAGACTGTCTCAAAATAAAAAAATAAAATAACTAGTTTAAGTCTTTTTCTGATAATTCTGACATTCGGGTAACCTTAGAGTTGGCTCTTGTTCATTGTCTTTTTCCTAGAGAATTGCTTATGTTTCACTAGTTCTTTGTCAAGTAATTTTGGATTGTTTCTGGGATATATTTGGAATATTACGAGATTCTCTATCCTGTTTAAATCTTTGTAAGAATGTTTTTGTTTTGTTTTAGCAGACCATTAATCCAGTTAAGTTTCAGAGCACATATCCTAGCCATTTTTTTGGTGGCTGTGGTTCTATTGTTAGTTTTCACTGCCTTTTTTGTTAACCTGTTCTTTGGCCCAGTTGTGCACCATCTAGTGGCCAATCTGAAACCTGGACAGTGGTCTGCACTGTAATTCAGTGTTCAGAACCTTTGCTCAGCTGCTTCTGGTCAGTTTCACACATACACAGGTTAGATGATACCAGGATTTTATTCACAGATTTAAGGGTTCCTTTTCTTCAGTTCCCTCCTATTTGTGATCTTACCTATACTCTGGTTTCTAGAACCCCATTCTTGGTTTCTGGCTAGAAAGTCAGGGCTTTAGCCTCCCTACACCATTGCCAGTGTTCTGTCCTGCAATGTCTGCCGCTAGAGCACCAGGGGGAAAGGAAGAGTGATACCTTTTTACTGCTGCTGGATTGACGTAGAGCAAGGAAAGTCCAGAATGTTCCAAGTCATTACCCATGGTTCCAATGGTGGGGAGGTGGGTCTTACTGCATCTTTCCTGAGGCTCTCTTAGAATAGTGCAATTAAACTAAAAAGCCTCCAACCTCCTTTCTGGTCCTCTGACTAGAGAGAGCAAATTGTTCCTTGGACTCCTTTTCTGTCAGCTAGTATTTTCAATTTTCCTGTTAAATGTCTTACCTTTTTTAAAAATTTGAGACAGGGTCTTGCTCTGTTGCATGATCACAGCTCACTGGAGCCTCAACCTCCTGGGCTCAAGTGATCCTCCCTCCTCAGTGCCCACGTAGCTGGGATCACAGGTATAAGCCATCACACCTGGCTATTTTTTAATTATTATTTTGTAGAGACAGTGTCTCCCTATGTTGTTGCTCACTGTAGCCTCAAACTCCCGAGCTTAAGTGATGCTCCTGCCTTGGCCTCCCAGGGTGCTGGGATTACAGGTGTGAGCCACTGCACCTGGCCTTATGTGTCTATGTGTAGATTTTCTAGTTTATTCTGTTTGGGATTTGTCTGGCTTCTAGAATGTGTGGGGTATATCTTTCATCAGTTTTTAAAATTCTGCATTCTATCTAAATATTTGCTCTATCCTATTCTTGCCTCTCTTCTCACAGCTAATGAAGCACATGTTAGAACTTTTCACTGTATTTCTCTTCAGGTCTTCTGGTTTTTTTTCCAGCTGTTCCATGCCGCATAATGGATAGTTTCTTCGGAGTTATTTTCCAGTTTTTAAACTACTCAATTGGCTGTGTTCTATTACATTTACTTACTGAGTTTTAAAGCGCAGTTTTTATGTACAATTCTTGCAATGTTTATATTCAGTTCTTTTCCAGATTAGCTCCACAACTTTTTATAGTTTCCCATTTCCTGCAAGTACGTTCACAAACCTGCCTTTATTTCCTTAAACTAAGAAAACATCTCTAATACCTACGTCTGTGAGTTTGTTTTCATTGCTTCAAGTAATTCTTGCCTCTGGAATCTAGATTCCTTATATGCCTACTTAATTTTTACTATACATTACTAGACATATTTGAAAAGTAATTTGAGGCCTACAATGCAATTACTTTTCCATGGAAAGGATTTACATTTTATTTTCTCTGTCACCTGGAGGCATAACCAGTATGGGAACACCTTAAAGGAAGTTCAATGCTTAGGATTCTTTAGATCACTAAGGCAATTCTAAACTTGCCTATTCTTTTACATTGGTTCTTCCATCTCTGATTCATTATCATTTTAAAGGTGAAACTATTTGGGGCTCTCAGCTTATTGTGTGAAGGGTCTTCTGTTAGGTTCACGTATATGGGCCTTGAACTTTGATTTCTGTCCCCAACACTCATAAAGGTTGTCAGAGTAGGGGCCCATGCTCACTTCTCTTATGCTCTTTACTTTTGGACTAGGCATTCCTTATTGTCTGGAAAAGTCTCTTTGATGTTTTAAGATTATTCTTGTATTTTAATCAACAGGAACATGATGTAAATATCCTAGCACGCAAATTTCAGAAACAGGAAGTTTCCCACAATTGCATCTTTGTTCCTACATGGCCAAATCCTAATCTTTCTCTTGGCATGCTCTGCACTTAAGCACATACTACTTGTGGCATGGAATCCATGAATGTTTATAAAGAACCATGTCTAATTCTGTCAGAACAATTAATCGCTTTAAAAATTTTTTGTTTAAAAACCTCGTAAAGTGTTCTGCATGTATCAGGTATACAGACACACAAAATTTGTTGAATAGCTGCATAAAACAAATGGGCTAGATTTTACTTCATATTTCAAAATTCAGAGAAAGAGACTAGTATTAAAAGATAAGCCAAAAATAGATCATTGCAGACTGAGTACAAAGAACGATTCTATTTTTTCACTCTTAAAAAACTAAAATTTCGAATTAAGTACCAATGACCAAATAAGTAACAAACACATTCAGAAACATACTATATATACATCTGCAAAGAATACTTCAAAATGTGCCTCCAAACTTGAGGCACATCATTCCAAATTTTATTGAATGTTGAGATTTTACGAAAACAAATCTAAAGCTATCCCATCATGGAAGAGCCCTGCACCATTTGGTTATTTTAAGACTGTGCAATTACTTACATGGCACAATACGTACACTATATTAAGAAAACATAAATTGGGTTTTCATCTTACACCATTTCAATAAATTTCACAAATTATAACAGGTTGCCATTTTATTGAATATCTGCAACACTTTACATTGTTCATGAAGTAGCCACTTTCAGAAGGCTGATATCCTCCTCCCAATTGTCTTTGGCTAGTATTATAGATGTGATTCAGTACAAACTATATGCCCAAACTGATGAACATTCTCAGTCTCTCCTAGCTTGAGACCTTAAATCCTGAGTTATAACTCTGACTTGATCTTCAAGTTGAGATGCTTCATAAATATTTTTCTTAAAACAGGGTTATTTAGCATAGTTTCTTTTTCTTGAAATATATGAGTGTTTTTGATACAAAAACATATGTTACACATAAGAATGTTTAAAGCATCAAAATAATGATTAAATTTTTTATATAACTTAAATGACAGGACTACAATATGCTCCCCTTTTTTTGCTGTTTGAAGTAAAGAGGAAAACTCTGTAACAATTTCAAATACATAGAATTTAACTTATGTTAATATCCTGTTATAAAAAATAACTACCATATAAACAATTTAAAATATGCAAAAGTAATTAGTTCATTTAAATTTATACTTATACATTGGTGTCAATGAAAATATGCGGAGTTGCCAAAAAATATCTAAGGATTAAAGTGGAAGTAAAAAAACCTGTTTCAGGCTTCATTTATTGCTACATAATGTCTACTTCAAGGGTCATCTGGCCTGTCGACAGTCACACTCATAAGTGGTAAATACAATGGTATACTTTGGAAGAAAAGGAGGAAAAAAATAATGTACTATGATACAAAAATATTGCTTATATACAAGTTATTAAAGTTTTATAAAACACATTCAGAATAATATGTTCTTGCTATAAAAACAATATACTTAAATATAGAAGCAAAAAATCCTGAAGCACCCACATTATTTTAAGATCCATTTAATCAGGAAAAACTATATATATATGGATATATAATACATATATATGTATAATTTGAGAAGAAAAAAGGCAAATTTTTAATCTAAAAAGAGTTTATCTAATTATGGAGGTAGGTCTCCACTCCAATTATACAAATAAGTTATCAGCTTTATTCAAAGAATTACAAGTCTAAGATTTCAAAACTGGTTTTTGTGCCACTGAAATACAATTTTGACAGACTTTAGAAACCAGTATTCTAACTGGCATATACACAAAACAGACATTTCCTTCATAAGGTTACATCTGAAAAGAGCCTTCATTAAAATCATCATTGACATAAAGAGGTATACCTAAGTGCAGATACTTTGGCTTAGCATTTAAATAACACAGTAAATGCTACAAATTTCTTAAAAGAAATCCTTGTCTTTTTAGTACTTAAATTAATTGTAAAGCTTCAAAAATCATGGATCTTTTAAACTTTTAGCTATTTAAATATTGTGCTAATGATTTGAAAAGCTCATTCCTGCCTAAGCGCAAAGCTTACGTGTTTCAAAAATCAGACATATTTATACTTTTAGTGTTTGTGGCATTTCAGCTTTAGTGCTGGAGTTAGTTTTAACAAATCAGGTTGCAATATATAATATGGCTCAATCTTTCACTAAAAAAGATGTTCTATAATGAAAAACACTAATTCTATTTCTAATGGTAAACTAGAGTTGGAGGTCCCACCATGGATCACAGGTATCAGAGCACTATCAAGATCATTTAGATAACGCTGAGGCAGAAGTTGACCTTCAGATCCTGCCTGAAATTCAACCTGGAAAAAAAAAAAATCTTAATAAGAAAATGAGTAATCTTGTGAATGTAGAATCTAGCTCAGAATGTGAATATAAAATAAGTGAAATACTTAAAAATATCAGTTCAAGCATGTTAAATATTTGATATATTTATAAAAAGTATTCTACATTCTCCTGTATTTCCTTTATCCTTCTACTACAAAAATTATAATTGCCCCTCCCCATATATCATAAAGATAAAATTGCCTCTATGTCATACTTTACGTTTCTCTAAATGAACACATACACAAATTGGAGGGATGAGGCTTTGAAGAACTTCTGATATTAAATTAAAAACCCCATGGTATTAAAAAAAAACTCCTTAAAATATTTCAAATTTGTTATTGCAATAATATTTAATATTAGAATCTAATGGTGCAAATTACATTTTAATACAATTTGACTGAAAAAATTCACAGTGCTTACTCAAATAACAAATAGTTACTGGATGCTTCCTTGAAAAGAGGGCTTTTAATAGTGAGATAAAAACAAAACCCCCTTTCCAGTAAGAACTATGAGCAAAACATATCCTGGCTGGAGAATAGCAAATCTACAACACATGAATTCACCCATGTAACCATTCTAATGAAGTCTTGGCTTTGAAAATCTATACTGGATGTTGGAAAGAGTTACTTGGATGTCGAAAAGAGAACTTTCAGTGCAAATCTTTTAAAGAAATAAATATTCCTCCTCCTAAAAAATTCAGAATATTTATTTTCCTAACAGATTTAAACTGAAAGTTCAAAGAAAAACAAATTGTTTTTACATGCAAGATAATCATCACTCCTTGTTAAGAGAAATATACATTAAAATAATACTGGGGCCCAGGCATGGTGGCTCATGCCTATAATCCCAGCACTTTGGAAAGCTGAGGCAGGAGGATGGCTTGAGACCAGGAGTTCAAAACCAGCCTGGGAAACATAGTGAGACAGCATGTCTTTAAAAAGTAGTAATAATATTAATAATAATGTGATATTTTCACCTATCAAATTGTCCAAGTTCGAAAGTTTGATTATATACTTCTTTGATAAGGATGTGGGGGAGGCCAGGTGTGGTGACTCACACCTATAATCCCAGCACTTTGGGAGGTCAAGTGAGCAGATCACACGAGGTCAAGAGTTCAAGACCAGTCCAGCCAACATGGTGAAACCCCGTCTCTACACAAAAATTAGTCAGGTGTGGTGGAGTGTGCCCATACTCCCAGCTACTCAGGAAGCTAAGGCAGGAGAATTGCTTGAACCCAGGAGGCAGAGGCTGCAGTGAGCTGAGATTGTGCCACTGCACTGCAGACTGGGTGACAGAGCAAGACTGTGTCTCAAAAACAGGATGTGAGGGTTTGGAGGGGAAAAGCTCTCACATATTGCTGGAGGAAATATATATAAATTGGCATAATCTCTATTTGGGATAATATGGTAATATCTATTGAATATATATACTCAGGCCTGGCAATTCTATTCAGAATTTTTTTTATAGATATATTTACACTTATATAAAAGCAAAATATTGTGGACAACCTAAATGTCTATTGACATATATCAAACATGCATGGATAACTAGTTAAATTATGGTACATTTATATAATCAACTACTATGCCACTGTTAAAAAGAATATATACTAGTATTAATATCTTTAGGATATATTAAAGAGGTAAAAAATATGTAAAAGAGGGGAGATGAAAAAGGAGGATGCACATGTATTTGGTTGTACATGCATAAAATGACAAAGAATACTAAGAATTCTTGAGTAACACTGATTGGCCAGAGAAGGAGGATAAAGGAAGTATGGAGGTGAACTGATCGGTTGATGTCAACAGTAGGGAAGATATTTCCAAGGCTATTGCCTTTATACACCTCTCTGGGAACCATTTACACTGTAGTGTGGAGTTATTATCTCCAGAATCCACCAGTTACATAGAATACAGTGTGAATGCTGCTATGTGGAAATGTTCAGTGAGGTGGTCCTGGTATATATACACTTTTAGGTTTTAAGATTTTAAATCAGGTACATATAGAATCTAGTCAGAATAAGTAAATTTAAAAACCTATCTATAAGGCAGGGTAGTCACGCGGCAAGGTTCAGCAAACTATGGCCTGCAGGCCAAATTTGGCCCCACGGGGTAAACAGAATTTCTCTGGAACACACCACACTCATTTGTTTACCTACTTTGAATGGCTGCTTTCCCAATATAATGGTAGTGTAGAGTAGTTGTGAAAGAAACCATACTGCTTACACACTGTCCAAAATAGTTACTGTCTTTTTACAAAAAGTTTGCTGACCCTTGTTGTGGAGATTAATACAGATACTGTATGTGAAGTGTATAGCACACATTTAATGCTCAACAAATTTTCATTCACTTCTTTCATCCCAAAATAAAAGGTTGGAGAAAAACTTGATTATTTTAATATGCAATACATTCATTTCAAAAATACATCACAAAAGCACACCTCACCATATCAGTGTCAATGGAAACTCTGAGTCCAATTTTATTCATCCCATTACTCTTTAGAGTTTTCAGGTGAGGGCACAGCGCAGCACTACAAGCCATGGCTATTTCTTTTGCAAACTGATAAGAAGTTGATAAAATAGATAAATCCTGGTCCTTTAGAAAGTAGAACACCTGAAATGTATTTAATTAGGAAACAAGTCATGATTAAGATTAAAAGTAACTTTTAAATGCAACAATTGCTGCTTTCAACTTTAATTAGATTCCAATGTAAAGTGCCATGAAAATCATTAGTTGTGAGAATTCTGTATCAATAGCTTGATCTGTATTATTAGTAAAAACATAAAACCAAAGGTTATGGTAAATATGGAAATGGCTCAGCTATTTGTGCCTAAAGTTAGTTTGTAGCAAGGAAAGCCTTGTTAAAACAGTATAAGTGTATCCTGTAAGAACATCTATATGAAGGTAAGATAAAACAAATGATATTCCATTGTGTCTATATTCTCTGTAGGTTCTATTTTGTACATGTAATAAAATCACAAAGAATGCTTAAGAAATAAATGTGAGGGGGAATAAGGTGGTAGACTAAGGAATTGGGAGTCTATAGTTTTGTATCCTCTAATTTAAAAAAAAATTGGAACATAAAAAAATAACTTTCATATGTGAATGCTGATTATAAATTAATGACAATATCTTATTTTTTGTAAAATATGAGGAAAAGGAAAATATGGTCAAATAACATAACACAGTCCAAAGATGGCAATGCTGCCAACACTTGACTGTTAGCTGGGAGGCAGTACCACCATTTGACAGCCTGAACTAACCCTATGGAAATCCAATTCTGGTGTATAAAAGTCTGGGGTGGAAATGTGCGTGTCTCAAAGTGTAGCATAAAAAGTATAAGCTTCACATACATATTTAGAGGTTGAGTATGCATAATCTCCAAATTCAAAGAACAAAAACATATTGAAACACAGCATGTAAAAGGAAGGAAACTTCTTTGTTAGTTACCTCACTACATTTTACAATCTTCTCATCACTTTCAAAATCTGCTTCCAGTTTTATTTTTTCACTTGGAAGTCCCTGTAATGATATTCCATCCACTGAACTGATAACACTACCAAATAAAACATAATAAAATAGAATTATTAGCACCAATGTGCTTTTTGAAATAAATCATTAGATTTGAACAGATGAAATGAGGGAAAAAATATAAAAGAACGTATCTCAATTATACACAAAATAATTAAATCTGTAGTTCATATTCATTTACCAAGATTTCTTGATTGTGTAGTAATCTTTTTTTGTTCCATCAATAAATTATATCTCCTTTCTCATATGTTCAATTCAGACCTGAAGTTTAAAATACCTTAGATAGCCATGTGTGGTGGCTCACGCCTGTAATCCCAGCACTTTGGGAGGCCGAGGTGGGCAGATCACGAAGTCAGAAGTTCAAGATCAGCCTGGCCAGCATAATGAAACTCCATCTCTACTAAAAATACAAAAATTAGCTGGGTGTGGTGGCACACGCCTGTAGTCCCAGCTACTCGGGAGGCTGAGACAGGAGAATTGTTTGAACCCAGGAGGCGGAGGTGGCAGTGAGCCAAGACCACGCCATTGCACTCCAACCTGGATTACAGAGTGAGACTATCTCATAAACAACAAAACAAAAAACCCTTAGAAAAAACCTCCTAGTAGGGCTGGGCACGGTGGCTCATGCCTGTAATCCCAGCACTTTGGGAGGCCGAGGTGGGTGGATCACAAGGTCAAGAGATCGAGACCATCCTGGTCAACATGGTGAAACCCCGTCTCTACTAAAAATACAAAAAATCAGCTGGGCATGGTGGCATGTGCCTGTAATCCCAGCTACTCAGGAGGCTGAGGCAGGAGAATTGCCTGAACCCAGGAGGCGGAGGTTGCGGTGAGCCGAGACGGCGCCATTGCACTCCAGCCTGGGTAACGAGAGCGAAACTCCGTCTCAAAAAAAAAAAGAAAAGAAAAAACCTCCTAGTAGAAAAGCTGTCTCATTAATTCAAAAACTCTATTTTGGAATCCTTCAGCCCTCTTCTTCCTTCTTTGCTCCAGACCCCTTAGCCAATCTCAAAAAAAGAAAAAAGTAACTGAAGAGAGGAAGGAGTGGCAGTAATAATCTGTAAGGCCTCTAAGGTATATATTATTAAATCCAGTTGTTTGTATTAATAGTGAATCAAAATAATACAGTATATATCATCCAAAGGAATCTTTTACTTATGTGACAAGAATAGGTACCATCTGACAGAAAAAGTGTCTTGCTTTTCTCAGCCCTGGCATCAAGCCCATGCTGCTACACAACGGATGTTTCATCATCGAGCCCCTCCCAAATAGACCATCCTAGTCCAAAAACCACACCACAACTCATGAGGCTAGTTAGGTACATGTTTGTAAAACAGATTGTATTCACTAATTCGAGTATAAGCATTTAAAAAAAATGGTGTAAGTCTATATTCATTCACAAAATATTTAATTTTATTAATGCAATGTTTTAATCCTTCCCTTTCCTTCAAATCAATTATATTTTAGAATAAAAAAAATTCCTACCCTTTGTTTCCTTTTTCTTCGGAATCTACCCAGCAAATATCCACGTATTCTCTCAGGTCTACTGCATCAACTTTCCCACATGTAATTTTAAAGTCTTTCTGCTCTCGTAAAGCTAGCCGCAAGCCATTCATGGTCTCTGGAGTTATTTGTACCATTAAGCCATCTAGAAATGAGAGTAAGTTTCACATTTCTTTTGCCAAATACCAATGTGTATATCTAAGCCATAAAATTTGCTATCAAAATATGTTCTGTATAAGGTACAAGTTTTAAATTATTTGCTAATCATCTTAATGGTTGTTTTCCACTAAGAAATAAGACAAGTATTTAGCAAAGTTAAGATTTTTTTTTAAGGTTAAAAACAAAGATGAGAATTTCTGCTTCTGGCGATGATGAAATAACTGGTACCAAAAAGCCCTTTCAGGACAACCAACCATAAGACTAAAAAAAAATATATGAGATAACTGTTTTTAGGTTATTGCACTAGGCAGTGCAATACTGAGATCCCTAAAGGGAATCTGAAGAGATAAGCTCGCAGTTATCTCCAGGCAGAGAACTCAGGTAAGCTTAGCGGGTCTCCTGAGGAAATTATTCCCAAGTGACTTACAGGTGGTGTTGAGCCTGTAGGTGTACAAAAGTCAAGAAATTAGGTTTGGGAACCTCCGCCTAGATTTCAGAGGATGTATAGAAATACCTGGATGCCCAGGCAGAAGTTTGCTGAAAGGGTGGAGCCCTCATGGAGAACCTCTGCTACAGCAGTGCAGAAGGGAAATGTGGGGTTGGAGCCCCCACAAAGAGTCCCCACTGGGGCACTGCCTAGTGGAGCTGTAAGAAGAGGGCCACCATCCTCCAGACCCCAGAATGACAGATCCACCAACAGCTTGCACTGTGTGCTTGAAAAAATGGCAGACACTCAACACCAGCCCATGAAAGGGGCTGGGAGAGGCTTTACCCTGCAAAGCCACAGGGTTGGAACTGCCCAAGGCCATAGGAGCCCACCTTTTGCATCAAAACGACCTGGATGTGAGACTGGAATCAAACGAGATCATTTCAGCGATGTAAGATTTGACTGCCCTGATGGATTTCAGACTTGCATGGGGCCTGTAGCCCCTTCATTTGGGCCAATTTCTCACATTTAACATATGTGTATTTACCCAATGCCTGTCCCCCAAATGTATCTAGGAAGTACTAACCTGCTCTTGATTTTACAAGCTCATAGGCAGAAGGGACTTGCCTTGTCTCGGACTAGATTTTGGACTTTGACTTTTGCATTAATGCTGGAATGAGTTAAGACTTTGGGAGACTGCTGCAAAGGCATGATTGTGTTTTGAAATGTGAGGACATGCGATCTGGGAGGGGCCAGGGACAGAATAATATGGTTAAGCCTTGTGTCCCCACCCAAATCTCATTTTAAATTGTAATCCCCATAATCCCCACAAGTCAAGGGAAAGACCAGGTGGATGTAAATGGATCATGGGGGCAGTTTCTCCCATGCTGTTCTAATGATAGCAAGTGAGTTCTCACAAGATCTGATGGTTTTATAACCAACTCTTCCCCATTAACTTGGCACTTCTCCTTCCAGCTGCCTTGTGAAGAAGGTGCCTTGCTTCCCCTTCACCTTCCACCACGACTTTAAGTTTCCTGAACCCTCCCCAGTCATGCTGAACTGTGAGTCAATTAAACCTGTTTCCTTTATAAATTACCCACTCTCAGGTGGTTATTTTTTTTCAAGTTTCATTTATTTATTAATCAGTGTAATCTGCAATAGATTACATCAACATGATTTCATGCATTTAGAGAAGAAATATTTCCTGGTTAAGTAGAAAACTGTGTGGATGGCCTCTGGAAGACCTTCATTTTAAAGCAGCTTTATAGTGAAACATTTCATTTAGAAATCCAGATGTTCTTTCTTCAGTTTGCTGTAATCCACATTCACTGAGTAGAACTTGTATTGATCATTGGGACCCAGTTTGTTCCAGGGCTCTGGGTTATTCTTTCTGTCCCAACAAACATCTGGATTGAACAATACCAGACGCAAGAGATACAGGGCCGCTCCACTACCTCCAGTTCCAATAAATACAAAGAGGGGGGATCAAGGCTGGATGCTTCTTGGCCTGATCTGGTGGAGCATGTTCCCAGCAGAAGCCTCTGATTAGAAAGGAGAGAACCAGCCTAGCCACAAGGCCCTGGGCTAAGTAGTATCTCAGGCAGTTCTTTATAGCAGTATGAAATTGGACTAATACACTTAGAAAGCCACATACTACCATAATTGATTTTAAAAGAATTAGAAAATCTAAATGTTATGGATAGAATTGTATTTCCCCAGAATTCATATGTTGAAGCCCTAACCCCCAAATGTAACTGTATTTGGAGTTGGGCCTTTAAGGAGATAACTAAAACTAAATTAAGTCATAAAGGTGAGGCCTTAATCTGAAAGGACTGGTGTTTTTTTTGTTTTTTTGTTTGAGACGAGGTCTTGCTCTGTTGCCCAGGCTGGAGTGCAATGGCACAATCTCAGCTCACTGCAACCTATGCCTCCCAGGTTCATGCAATTCTCCTACCTGAGCCTCCCAAGTAGCTGGGATCACAGGCACCCACCACCATGCCTGGCTAATTTTTGTATTTTTAGTAGAGATGGGGTTTCACCACGTTGGCAAGGCTGGTCTTGAACTCCTGACCTCAAATGATCCACCTGCCTCAGCCTCCCAAAGTGCTCAGATTACAGGCATGAACCAAAGTGCCCAGCCTAGGACTGGTGTTCTTATAAGAAGAAGAGATACTGGAGCTCACTCTCTTTCTGAGGGTGCACACAGAGAAAAGGCCATGTAAGGATACAGCCACCCTCAAGCCCAGGAGACAAGCCTCACCAGAAACCAACCCTGTTGGCACCTTTATCTTGAACTTCTAGCCTCTAGAATTGTGAAAAACATAAATGTTTTTTAAGCTACTCAATCTCTTGTATTTTGTTATGGCAGCCCAAACTGATTAAGAAGAAGTAATCACAAAAAAAACTGAAAACAGACATAATTAAAAGAGTAGACAATCAATTGCAGTGATTGGATCTTATTTGGATACTGACTAAGAAAATGGGGGTAATGTGACTACTGATTGGATATACAGGTATTATTGATAAAATATTTATGTGTGATAATACAGGTTGAATATCCCTTATCTGAAGTGTGTAGGACCAGAAGTGTTTCAGATTCCAGATTTTCTTTGGATTTTGGAGTATCTGCATTATATACTTAACAGTTGAGCATCTGAAATTGAAATGTGAAATCTGGCATGCTCCAATGGGCACTTCTATTGAGAGTCATGCCAGCACTCAAAGAGTTTAGGATTTTGAAGCATTTCACATTTTTTGATTTGGAATGTTCAACCTGTAGTTTTGTGGTTATGTTTCTGAAAAACTACTTTTTCTTTTAGAAACATGTATTATTTGTGAATGAAATGATATAATAACAATAAACCAATGGGAAGAGTAGGTAAGGAGTATGGATAAAGTAGGTAGATTATAAATTGATAACTGTCAAAGGTGGGTGATGGTTCCATTAACATTTATCATATTATACTTTTTTACTTTTATACATGCTTCATTTTTTCATAGTAAAAGTGAAAATGTTTACAAAAACAATAAAATAGTACGGTATCAGTACAGAGTTAAACAAACTGACTAAAACACAACAAAAGCTAAGAACATAGCCCAGAAACAGATTTTCATGGAAATAAAACGTGCCATGTGACAGAGACAGCATTAAAGATTACTAGGGCAAAGGGACAATTCAATATCTGATGGTAGATCAACCCCTATTCAAATGACAGAAAAAGTCACTGGATTTCTCTACCTCACACTACACACAAAATTAAATTCCAGATAAATTAAAGACTTAAGTGTGAAAGGCAAAACTTTAAATCTTCAAAGACAACATAGGAGAATACCTTTCTAAACTATATGATAGATTTCTTAAATAAAAGACATTAGCTATAAAAGAGTCATAAATTATACTGTATTGAAATGAGAACTTCTATTTAAAAAGACACTAAAAATGGTAGAGAAAGAATAAAAATACATAAAATTGTGTAACTACAAATCAATTAGAAAAAGACACACAATCCAATAGAAAAATGGGCAAAAGAAATGAACAGACATTTCATAGAAGAGGCAACATGCATGTCCAATAAATATGTAACAGGATGCTGTGCTTATTAGTAATTAGGGATATGCTAATTATGACTATATTCAGAGATACCTACAGGATTGACACAAATTAAGCAGTCTGATAAAATCACATTTGGAAAAATGTAAACCAATCATAAATTTTATATATTCTGATGGTAATATAAATTGGTACAACGAATTTGTGAAGTTTCTAGGGAAACTCTAGAATATATTCTTAGAATAGAAACAACCCAGAAGTTCATGATCAGGAAATAAATATGTTGTAATGCATTCACAAACTATTTAACAGCATTTAAAAGGAATAAACTATAGTTGTAAGAAATAACATGCATAAATTTTAGAAACTCATATTGTATGAAAATAGGGAGTTCCATATGACTATGTGAAGAATGATTTCAATTTTATATATCTCCTAAATAAGCACAAACAATATGTTGTTTAGGCAGATGTATATACAAAGGAAAAAACAATTAAGCAAGAGAATGATAAACACAGTATTCAGTCCAGTCACTAATTCTTGGGGAGAGGCGGAAGAGAGAGATAAGTCTTCTAGTTCTTATGCTGGTTGATGAATTCATAGAAGTTTGTGGCACTGTGCTTTATAACTTACATATGTTCTTTTGTAAGTATCAAATGTATTTTTAAAAGGTTGCAGAAAAATAACTACATTAAAACAACATTAAAAATGAAACTCATACCTTCAACTATGCTGGACTTAGCAAGAAATCCTGATGATGTTTTCAGAGCTCCATTGAATACCACAAAACTTGCACCTGTCACTGATCAAGAAATACAAGAATTATTTGTTTTAAACTGCTCATTTTTTTTTTTTTTTTTTTTGAGACGGAGTTTCACTGTTGTTACCCAGGCTGGAGTGCAATGGCTCACCGCAACCTCCGCCTCCTGGGTTCAGGCAATTCTCTTGCCTCAGCCTCCTGAGTAGCTGGGATTACAGGCATGCACCACCACGCCCAGCTAATGTTTTGTATTTTTGGTAGAGACGGGGTTTCACCATGTTGACCAGGATGGTCTCGATCTCTTGACCTCATGATCCACCCGCCTCGGCCTCCCAAAGTGCTGGGATTACAGGCTTGAGCCACCACAACCAGCCTAAACTGCTCATTTTTATATTACATATTTGTTAAGTGCAGGATGTGGATACACACATTTGAAGTACTCAATAAATGTTATACCACAACTGACATTAGAAAACTTTTAAAAAATTAAGATACAATATTATATTAAAATAATTTAATGCATCCAGGCACAGTGGCTCACTCCTGTAATCCCAGCACTTGGGGAGTCCGAGAGGGCAGATCACCTGAGGTCAGGAGTTCAAGACCAGCCTGGCCAACATGGTGAAACCACATCTCTACTAAAAATAAAAAAATTATAGCAAGTGCCTGTAATCCCAGCTACTGAGGAGGCTGAGGTAAAACTGCTGGAACCTGGGAGGCGGAGGTTCCAGTAAGCTGAGATCACACCACTGTGCTCCAGCCTGGGCAACAGAGCAAGACTCTGTCTCAAAAAAAAAGTAAATAAAATAAATAATAAAATAATTTAATGTTATTAATAATTAATGGACTATTAAACTGTTTTAAATGTTTGTGCCTGTATTAGTGAGAGTGTAGGAAATCAAACATTCACTACTGGTGAGAGCACAAAAAAGAACAGTCTTTATGGAGCCCTAACTTGGCAATTTTCTACTAAAATTTCAAGTAAATGTATCCTTTGACACACCAATTCTACTTCTAGGAATTTATCTTATAGATAGGTTCAAATGTATACAAAGCCATTCACTGTACCATTTTTATAAACAGCCCCTAAGGATTGGTAACAACTTATGTCCATCAATAAGGAACAGTTAAAGAATGCATAACATATAAAATGGAAAGTTCTGTAGAATATGAAAGCTCTTTATATACAAACATAGATTAATCTCCAAAGTGTATTAACAACAACAAAAAAGCAAGGTAAGAATGGAAAAATACTATGACTTCTCTAAAAAAGTGGAAGAGATAGATGTGTATGTGTGTGTTTCTTGAATATACATTAAAGCAAAAAATGCCTCTTAAAGGATATATAAGAACTGATAATATTGGTTTGGTTGCCTGTAGGGATGGCTGGATGGTCAAGGGAGGAAAGGAGATTTTTCACTATAAATATTTATACCTTTTTAATTTTACCACATAAAAATATACCTATTCAACAAATGAATACTCAAAAGTTGTTAAATTTTAATGGCAAAAATGCCAATATGTTAAGTAATAAAGTATAACATAAAAGTATAAATATCTGGTATAAAATCATCTATTTAACATATATTAATATAATATACATTATATTATATATAATATCAGAAGGAAATACAGCAAAATGTCAATAGTGACCATATCTTGGCACTTTTTTACAACTTTTCAAAATGCATTTTCTAAGCTTACTACAAATAAGTATATATTACCTTTATAAGCAGAGGAAAAAATTTTATTAGCAACCAGAATGTCAGATTATTCTAGGTATGTTATCCTATAATAATGTATTAATTTTATGAAATGCTTCCATTTAACTTTCAATTTGTTAGGCCTTCTACTGCAAGGGTCTGGTAATCAGAGCAATCACTGAAGCCATTCAGCCATAGCTGAGAGTAATATCATTCATACATGCTGCTTGTTATGTTTTATAAATCATTCTTATCCTTATCACCCTGTGCTCCCCCAACTAAGAGTTGTTGGAGCAGAGGGTGAACAAATGTGAAAAGAAATATCTTATTTCAGAAAGAAATTATTCCAAGAAAGACTCCCACTCTATGGGATACATGAAACCTAAATATGTCAAAAGGCATATAGTCTTCCAAGTCTGTAAGCCTAATGTAGCCCAAGAGAAAAACAAAAATTAGAAACAATTTTTAAATCTGTTATGTAGCTGAAATTTCAAAGCATACTGTTTTATCACCAACAATTCAGCAAATAAGTAAATATACATTTATTTCCCCTTTGAAAGGAACTCTATTAATTGAACCATGATGCTCACCTTTTCTAGGATGGCCAGTGGCACTGTTGGCCTGTGTTTGATACATTCCATCATTCTGTATACAGACTAGATGAGAATCTGCTTCTGTACTGAAACTAGCTCCAATGCTAATGACATGCTCATTAGAAGAATTTAGTACTTTCATTACCTGAATAAAAACAAAAACAACAACATTTGTCTAGAAACACTTTTAACATTGTATGCTTATTCTAAGAGCCACGTTCCTGACCAACTTCATAATTATCAAGCTTTGGTCTGAACAACTCCCTGGGAATGTGATAGAAACAAATGTTTTAAAATAAAATCACTTCAGTTGAACAGTAATCACCTCAATAAAACAGTAAGGAAAAAAAGAAGAAACACAATGAAATAGATTATTTACTAGTAAACAAATTCTAGGATTTCAAAAACAATGTTTATTGTTGCCATAATACAGTAGATAGTCTAATTCAAAATAAAAAATTTAATGTGACATAATTCTAAGGAACTCTAATGTTCAATAATTGTCATTTGAATACAACAATTATACTTACATCGCTGTACTTTTTTCGTGGTATTTTTATGCTGCTTTTTCCCATTTCCATATGAATCAATAGGTCATCTATATTATGCAAAGTATACTGGTAATTTCGAAGGTCCTGCATAAAATAATCCCATTAAAATAAACTACTATCCATGAGCATTTTCCCATCCATTAAATCCTTTTTCAAGAAATCCTTCTCTACATCAGTAATAAAGAATATCATTCTCAAGAAAAATTTTGTAGTATTTAGGGTATCTCCTCTTTTTAGTTACAGAACTTCCAAAATAGAAAAGCTCTTCAAACTATGCATGTATAAATGAAAGTGAGTCCACTGAAATACTTTTCTAAGGTAACAGAAACACAAAATTACAAAAATTATAGATTGAAGAGAACTTTAGATATCATCTAATCCAACACTTCCTATTATAAATGAGGAAACTAAGGCCATAATTAGCTCAAAATCACAAGACTGACTGACTCTACTAACACATTTACAAAAGTTTCAACAACTTTAAGAGGTCTGTGTAGAGGTTCTACATTACCTAAATATCCAAGAACTGCAGGAGAGTGAATCAAAAGGCAATTAGAATCAGGTACACAACATACATGAGGAGACAGTATGTTCTAAAAAGCAATTCATCAAAAACTGAGCACTAATATGTTAAAATAATTAGGATTTATTTTAAATGAATGGTCATTATACTAAACATGGCAAATTAAAGTAGGCAAATATAAATGTGTAAAATTTGCTAAATAAAGTTTGAAAATAACAGTATAAAAACACCTAATAAAATAGTTCAATTACTCACCACAAGTAAGTTCATAATAGTGTGTCCTATTTCTCCAAAAAGAGGTTTTCGGTCTCTGATACTTGTTAGAGGGGCAGGATATGCTATACATGAGAAAGGAAAACTGGTTACTATCAACAACAACAACAAAAACTAAATTATTGAATTTATTATATTCAATTCTCATTTTACAAACAAACATTAGGTATGAATATCACCCAATCAGTTCTCAGGGGAAAATGAGAGATTTCTTTTTTTTTTTTGAGACAGGGTCTTATTCTGTTGCCCAGGCTGGAGCACAGTGGTGGGATCTCGACTCACTGCAACCTCTGCCTCCTGGGTTCAAGCAATCCTCCTGCCTCAGTCTCCCAAGTAGCCGGGATTACAGGCATGCGCCACCACATCTAGCTAATTTTTGTATTTTTAGTAGAGATAGGGTTTCACCATTTTGGCCAGGCTGGTCTTGAACTCCTGACCTCAGGTGATCTGCCCAACTTGGCCTCCCAAAGTGCTGGGATTGCAGGCATGGCCACCACACCCAGCCAAGAGATAATATTAACACTTACTGTGTATCTATGTATCTACAAGATGCTACATTGAAACTGGAAACTATACATGCATTATCTTAAATTCAACTACAACCTAATGAGTAAGTGTGTCTATACTATTTCATAAATGAGAAAATAAATGAGAAAGTTGAGACACAGAAATTAATCAACTTGCTCAAAGTGACTAAGTTAATAATTGGTGAAACAGGTTTGAAACTAGGCTTGTCTGATTCCAAAGTATTTCATCTTTTCATTATATATCTTGTTTCTGCAAAATTATAGAGGGTGAAAAATTATGATAGTTGGTTAGAATTCTATAAATTTCTGATAGTTTAAAGAGAAATACAAAGAACTAAAGACTTTTAAGGCATATATAATTAATATTCAATTGTGCTAATTTATGAATGGTAGCAAACTTTAAAGTTCTTGGTTCAGCATGATAAAAGAAGTATACCGATGAGTCAGGGAAACCAATAAACAAAAAGGGAAGGCCACGTTGGGCAGATCACCTGAGGTCAGGAGTTCAAGACCAGCCTGATCAACATGGAGAAACCCTGTCTCTACTGAAAACACAAAAATTAGCCAGGCATGGTAGTGGGTGCCTGTAATCGCAGCTACTCAGGAGGCTGAGGCAGGAGAATCTCTTGAACCTGGAAGGTGGAGGTTGCAGTGAGCTGAGATCATGCCACTGCACTCCAGCCTGGGCTACAGAGCAAGACTCCATCTCAAAAAATAAAAATAAAATAAAAAAATAAAATTACTATTTTGAGACAGTTATTTTCTTTATTCCTGGGACTTTAACTTTCGCATTAGCTTATTCAAATGTACATTACCTCTGTAACAAAATACACACACACACACACACACACACACACACACACACACAAAGTTCACATCTAGAAAGACATAGACACCAATAATGTCAAAGTGCCAGTCTATGTAAAATCCAGCAGAACAGAAATAATTCAGAAAAGACCTAAGGTGAATTAACTTCTATGTATAACTGACAGTTTCCCCTCATTACTACTAAAAAGCTTATCAAAGCTTTGCAGTTCCAATCCCTGTGATTTATGAGAAGTTCTTCGTATTGCTCCAGGATTCTCCAACCTTCAGTGTGAGAAAACAAGACTTACTATCTAGAAGTGCTACTGGTCAAAATACTGGCCATACTTACAAACACGTTCCATAATAATTTGATTAGCTAGTTTGTTGCCCTAATCTTTCTTAAGCTCTTTGGTTCACACAGTACAAAACCTGAGATGCAAATTAAATTTTGTTATTTTTCCCACAAGTTAATAGCATCATGTATGTAAATCCTGAATGGTAAGGAATCCCCATCCGCAAAAATCACAGTTTAATAAAATTTGCCAAATAGATTATCCCTTCTCTCACTTCGTCTATTCTGAAATAGTAATCACCATTTTTATAGCTTCTCAATATTTAATTTTCCGCCAAGAAAATCTCTACCAAATTGTATTAGAATCAAATGTCTAAAAAGTTCATTAGATGTGATGTACTTCAAATGCAATAAATATATTATTTCTTGACAAAAGTCAGAGATAAAAGATATGGTGGGAATTCAAAAAAGTTTAACATTAGAAATAATTCTAATTCAGAAAGAACCATATATATAAACATCACAGCAGCTTTAGAAGCACCCATTGTGTCAAGGGTAGATAATATACATACATGCACATATACATAAATGATACAGGCAATGTCACTTTTGACAGATAAACATCAGAATATAAAAATAAGAATAATCAAGCTTAGAAAAACACTACAATTTTTAAGTACTTCCTTCTCTAAAAATAGTTAGCTTTTAATTTTGGTCAGTAACTGAAAACAACAGCACTGCTAACCCAAAAATCCTTTATGTTTGGCTTTATGACGTAGAAAAATTGAGAGAGGCAATGATTTATGTTCTTAATACATAGGCAACATAACAACTCCCAACAGTACATACTTTTAAGAAAATTTTAACAAAAGTAATTAACACATGTTGAACATCCCAAATCTGAAAACCTAAAATCCAAAATGCTCTAAAATCTGTAACTTTTTTTTTTTGAGAGAGAGTCTTGCTCTGTTACCCAGGCTGGGACGAAGTGGCACGATCTCCGCTCACTGCAAATCTGCCTCCTGGGTTCAAGTAATTCTCCTGCCTCAGTCTCCCAAGTAGCTGGGATTATAGGTGTCTGCCACCTTGCCTGGCTAATTTTTGTATTTTTAGTAGAGACAGGGTTTTACCACATTGGCCAGGCTGTTCTTGAACTCCTGACCTCAAGTGATCCGCCCACCTTGGTCTCCCAAAGTGCTGGGATTATAGGTGTGAGCCACCATGTCTGGCCTGTAACTTTTTTGAATGCCAACTTGATGTTTGAAAGAAATGCTCACTGGAGCATTTCAGATTTTGGATTTGGGATGCTCAACTGGTATGTATTCTGTGAATATTCAAAAATCTGAAAAAGTCAAAAATCCAAAAAACGGATCCAATACATTTCAGATATAGCACATTCGATCTGTACTGTTTTCTGTTTTGTTCTCAAATTTGAGAAGAAAAGTTTTAGGTAATAAAATAACTTATGAACATCTAGAAACTTGAAGACATACCACAGTTATCTAGATGAACCTGGTAGAAGAGAGTTGTATTAGAACTTTAAAAGCACAGCAGAACAACTGTAGTTCCACTAATCCACTAAAATTGATTTAATGATTCCCTGAAATTCTTATTTTACATTCAGTATATTTGAAAATATGCAATTTAACTTATGACTCTAAAACTTACCTTTATATTCTGCACCCAATCTCAACATTAAACGCATAGGAAAAACCTTTGCCCAGGGAATCTCAAGCTTCTGGATAAGAATTCCACAAAGAAAAGGATTACTTGGTAACGGGAGATCATCAAGTTTCTGAAAAGTAGGTGTAATAAACAGAAATCCTCCATGATCCTTGCTACTGAGAAACCTCTCAGTAAAGGTAATATTGTCCAAGTTTTCTATGTATTTTCCTGCAAATAAATTCATTAGTAAAAAGATTTTAAGTTGTTTTGTTACTGTTTTTGAAGAAATGTTTGGAGTTTGAATGTCCCAATATAAACTGTCTTAAGACACTATAGAATTTTTTCCTTACTTCTGTTCTTGCAAAAGCATCTATTGAATACTTTCGGTACCCAAAGGTCCAAGTTATTCCTGGATATTGGGAATTATGAACAAAAATTTGAAAATGTTTCCAACCTTTCCATTTTTCTCCTTACCGCATGGTCAAGTGAAAAATTACCATATCTCCCAGTCTTGTAATGACAGTAAGGAAATTACATAGACACATTAAAAAATCAAGGAGGCAGGCTGGGCACAGTGGTTCATGCCTATAATCCCAGCACTTTGGGAGACTGAGGTGGGCGGATCACTTGAAGTCAGGAGTTCTAGACCACCCTGGCCAGCATGGTGAAACCCCTCATCTACTAAAAATACAAAAATTATCTGGGCATGATGGCCTGTGCCTGTAATCCCAACTACTTGGGAGGCTGAGTGAGAAGAATCTCTTGAACCTGGGAAGCAAAGGTTGCAGTAAGTCAAGATTGTGCCATTGCACTCCAGCCTGGGTGGCAGAGCGAGACACTGTCTCAAAAAAAAAAAAAAAAAAAAAAAAAAAAAAAAAAAAAAAAAAAAAAAAAAAAAAAAAAAAAAAAAAAAAAAAAAAAAAAAAAAAAAAAAAAAAAAGCCATAAGGATATATTTCCATTTTTAAAATATAAAAATCTGTATAGAAACACTAATCACATAAAATGCTAGTTTTAAGGAGACAAAATAATTATTAAGATCTTTTCAGAAATCAGCAATCTCTTCACAAAAATAAATCTTTAAAATAGCTAGCACAGTCAAATGCATAAATGCCTTTAACTGATTTATCCATTCCCCAGTCTGAACAATTTAAAATAAAATGCCATACCTTTTAGAGCATCCTTATATATGGTGATAAATAGTCTGAAGATGTCCTTAGGAATAGTATCTTCATTTGGCAAACATAACAATAGAATAATAATTTCTGCCTGTCCCAAGCCATGCAATCCATTGGTTGAGAAGTACCAATATTTGTCTGAGGAATCTTAGATGATAAAACAATACAACTATTAATGTCAACTTCTATTAACCAAAAAACTAAGAACAATTGTTTTCGCATTTAACACAACTTTTCAAATTCCTTGTGTTGCCAAAGTTCTCCTCATGAAAATCTTAAATTGAATTGTATAAAATTCATATAAAATAAGAAAAAGGATTATTATACAGAGTCAATTAATAAGTAACACTAAAATAAAAGATGCACTAAATACTGAAATGTAGTGGGTAAGAATTTAGTTTTAAATAGAATGAAAAGCTGATAGATGCATTATTGAGTAGTGGGGATTAAGAATTACTTCCTTTCTTTTTAATTAGGTCACATGTCTCTCACTTAAAAAAACTGTCTTTATTGCTACTAAATCAGGATTCCTGCTTATTTCAGTTACCAAATTTCAATTTATCTAAAAGCCATAGGAGATACAGTCAATTGTATCATGAGTATCAAAATACAGCTCAGCTATATAAGCCCATGACCTTAACCTAAGATTGACTGAGGGATGTTAATAAAACTCCGTGAGCTTGTGTTTCAAGTCCCACTGAACATAAATTTGAAAAATTTATTTATAGTCATATCTGGCTGAAAAACCAATATCCAATGCTGCTTATTTTTCACCATTGCCAGTCAAAATCTAACCTGAAGATATAATTAATTCAGAAATCCTGCTTACTAATTAAGCAAATAAAGATAAATTATTACTTACAAAATATGAATTTGACATTCACGAGTAGATTAGCATTTAGGACAAATGTAACAGGAGGAGATCCTTCACCTTCAAGAAGCAAAATGATCTGCTCATGAGATGGATGTTCTTCTACTACAGGCACTAAATGATGAAAGTAATATATTAATCAGGATAAACATCCTATTAAATATGCTTACAAATCAAGAAAACAAATTTATAAATCCACCAGTGGCCTGATCAAATTTAAAAACAAAAGCAAACATGTTTCAATCAATCAACACCCCAGACAACTGTTATATACTAATTTTTACTTTTCTTTCCATGTAAAGTTGTTAATACTGTAATGCAAATACTGTATTACACATAGTATATTTATAATATGTTGATTAAACAGCAAATGTATACAGTTTTAGCACCTTCAAAGTTTTAAGACAAACGCTTTTATAAAGTGGATTCCAGTTTGGTAGACACTCCATTTATCATTTTTGAAATTTACAAGTCTGTGAAAGTTGTCTAGACCCACATTATATATGCTGCTGGCTACCACATGCTTATATCTGCTGCTTGCTACCAATGCCTCTATCAGTGAACAGGTAGCAAAAAAAAAAATCTTGACAATCAATAGAAAGATATGCATGAGGGTTCACTGTATTCTGTATTTTTGCCACTACAGCTAGGTTCATGTAATGGCTCCCACTGACAGAACAGAAATCCTAAGCTTCAATCATACATGATCACACAAGGAACCATTTCATGTTGCAGAATGTGACATAATGCCTAGAGTGACAAGTGTCTATCCTAGGAAACCACTCTGAGGCAGAAGTTAGCCACAGAATCTCCTGCTTGAAAAGGACCTTAGAAATCATCTAGGTTCTATTTACAAAAGAAACCGAGGCCCAAGGAGATTAAGTAACACATTATAAGTCATAGATGTAACAAATAGCAGAAAAGGAACTAAAATTCCTAGATTTGCCATCCAATCTAATGCTCTTTTCTTCAGGTGCCATGCTCCTGAAAAAAAAAATAGTAACAATGTGGTGTCAAAATTCCAATACAATGGGAATATTTCTTTGGGCTAAAAGTCTATGAGCTTCCCTATTGTATTAGACTTTTCCTTATTCGAAATTAGGGTGTCAGATCTGATAAATGGATCATAAATGTTCAAATATTTTTAGAATTAGTTTTTATACAGTAAGACTTTCTGTAAACAAAAGATACCAGCCTATTACATATTGCAACCAAACTAAGTTTAAAAAAATATATTTCGTATGTTACAGACAAAATTCATCAGTATTTTAAAAAATCTTTTTAAATTTAAATAACTGCTTTCCTACCTGATCCGTTTTCTCCAGATGCAACCAGAAGTGGGGGTAAACTGTCCTCATCATTAGGTAGAAGACTAATCTTATTGCAAACACACTTGTTAATACCACACAGTAACCTATAATCTGAAATACTAGCAATAGGTAAATTGCTGTTAACTAAGACACCAGTGGGACTAGATGATTCTTCAGTTTCTGCAAAAACATCATCATCTAGTATAAATGAACTAGAAGTAGGTAACCCCTCATTTCCTGTGTTTACAGGCAATTTTTCCACTGATGGAACCTCAGAAATAGGACTCCGAATTATCTCATTTCTTGTAATATCTCCCATCTCATTGTTTGGCTTTTCCACTGCAGTAGAATGAGAATGATCCACTGTGTTTACTATCTGTAAAACATGGAACAAAAAAATTAACAAATAAGTTCATATTCTCTGTTCAACTATGAAATGTGATCACTATAGTTAAATATTATCTTTTTAATAAGGATAAATAAAAACCAAAATGGGTTCAGAAATTCTCATAAAGTTAAATTTCCCAAGAAATAGTACGATTTTGCTTCTTCAAATTCAGGAGCATAATGTATTAAGAAGCATAGGGTTTTCATTTTACTGCATGCTCAGGTAGGTATTAATGACTTAATATTAAGATTGGAAAAAATGAGGCAAGAAGAACTTCAAGATACCATACCGTATCACACAGTGAGCAAGCTTAGTTCAACCCAAGGCTCTCCCCTTCTTAAGATAGCCAAAAACCCTTGGGTACTTAGTGGGGAGGGACAAGGCAGGAATAAGGGGAGGGGAGTGGTTAGGAAGCCACCCCTTAGCTATATTCCACAAGAGTAACCACCTGGAATAAACTACATAAAGTCTACTTCAATAAAGCCTTTTTCTTTTTAGACTATATGAAGTCAATATTAAATAAGAACCATTTATGAACTCAATATTTATTAGCCTGTTCAGAGTTTTCATTAATATAGACAGTAGGTGCTAGCTAGGAAACATACCCATGGTAATTATGGCTATTTGTAAAATCTGGCTCATGAACTCTTGACAAAAACAGTGTATGTTTCTACCAGATGTAAACTTCAACAGAGCTGATAAGTATCCATCTTTTATCTTTTTTTTTTTTTTTTTT